GCATGCATGCATGCATATCTGTATGGTCTCACTGGCACCATCAGAAAGATTATGCAGCATGACTGATGATTGAGTCCTATCCTTCATAATAGCTCCTGTGTGGGATTTGCGTAGCACATGTTTATTTTATTTAATAACAGTGATAAGTAATAGTGATATTAATCATAATAGATAAATAGTAATCAACAGGATTTAATCCTGTTACTTCTTTCCTGCTGTGGGATTTCAAGTGGTGGCTCTCATCTTCTAATGGGCAGCGAGTGGGCTGAGTATGGCTTCCAAATGCTATTGTTGCTTTTGTTGCCTCAGGACAGCAAGCACTGCAACACAGCTCATCCCTGCTGAGTTCAGCAGGACTTTCCAAAGCCATTGCAAGCTGGCCCCTCAAAATCTCACAGCAAACTGAAGATCTATAGGTTCTACAAGCTGTGATGTCTGGGATGGAGCCTGTAAGCAGTTTGGCAATACCACTGTTACATATTAAGGTTTTAGGCAAGTGAGAGTAGCGAACTTGTTTGTTCAAGAGAGATAGTGATATCAGTTTACTGGCTCTGGAAGCAGATAAACCTGCACAGAGCAAAAGCAGGTGAAAAGCCTGAGCCTGCCTAATTACACTTTCCTAACCACTGCTGGCAGATAAGCTCTGTCCTAGAGGCTGAAACCATGAAGACAAAAATCCAACCACCAGATTCTCAGGATGCCCAGTATTTTCATATGCAGCCACATCTTCAAAGCAACAGTCAGGCTTTTGCTTTCTTTCAATACCACTTCTTGAGGTTTTCAAGTAGCGCGAAAAAGTATGGAGAGTTAAGGTTGATGTATACATGCTCTTTACTGCCTTATTTCTCAACATCACCCAAAATAAACACATTCCACCCACAAATGCACACCTGAAATAACATCACTGATCACTTGAAGCATCTCCTCCTGCTCATGTGATTTTTTCATACTGCAATATAAGAGCAACGTGGTTGCACAGACCCCATTATTTCAACCACACTTCCTGTTCTTACCCTAATACATTTAAAAGGTAGTATGGAGGAACGTTAAGCAAATATATGTAATAACATCCAGCACCAAGTACCACAAAGCCTGTCTCATCTTCCAACTTCTGCCATAGACCTGCGGTGTGATCTCAGTATGCAGGCTTGAGTGGCCAGCATAGATACCCAATTTGTGTGCTCGTGTTTGAGCTTCTTGCATTTCACTTCTCTCTTTTGCCTCCTTCCCTTAAAAAATAGATCATTTTGTTGACCTCTCAGCAGGGAAAATGAGTTCATTTTCTCTCTGTTTTACTGATGGGATCAAACCCTAGAGTCTAGTTAAGAAAATAAGCCTTCAGTTGCGTTCTCTCCTTGGCTTGTAGGGATGAAACCCTCTAGAGATATGCAGATGTTCTTCCAGAAAATGTATGTAGGTAGAAAAATCCTCCCTTTTGTTTATGAATGGATACCATCTGGGGTACACTTAGAACTGCTACTAGACTATAGAAAAATGGGAAATACAAATTTTTATATGTAAATGGCTATAATGTGGAAGGTTTTGCTGTTGGATTGCATTTTATGCACAAGACTTTGTGTACTTCACAAAAGATCTTTTGTGTACCACAAAAGATTTTCCACTTCTTGCCACAGAACCATGGCCTGAAGCTTAAGCGTGAATTGAGAAATGCTTCTGCTGCTCATGGCCGTGTAGAAAATATTGAGGGTAGGGAGTGAGGAAATGAACCATGTGAAAGCAATGCTCTCATCACCTCGCTTGTAAACATGCCGAGCTGTTATCTAATCCATCTAAGCCATAGCCCCAGTGATGCGGAGGGGCAGGTTTTTGTCTGAGCTGCCCACGGGAGCTGTACTCTTATGCTGCATTTCACTCCTGCCTGTTGTCATTTCCCTTTTATCTGGTGTGAGCTGCACAAAGAATAATGCAAGTGATTTTAGAGATAGGTGGTTTCAGAGCACTCTGTTGGTTTTTAAGCATGTGATCAACTTGAAGTCTTTGGCTACTGTAGTGCAACGGAATAGGATTATGTTGAGACATGGCTTATTTTACAGATCTGGAAGATGACACAGTAATTCAGCTTTAAATTCCTTTACAACATTTTAATTCTGATTAGTGCTGACTAAAGATTTATTACCAGCTGGCTGCTCAGGCTCAGCAGTTTGTTAGTGGGATTTGCTCAGGCCCACCACAGCAACCACTCAGGCTGTGGCACAGCCCCAGTACAGCGCAGTGCCACTGACTGACCTAGTTGTGGGTCTTCACTGATAGACAGGCTTGGGCTGACAGTAAGCGGTCCTTGGCCATCTTGTTGTTTATTCCCTGGTACCTGATGAAAACATTCTCTTTGGAAGGACAGGTCAGGACCAGCTAGTAGTCCCAGAGATGCCCATCTACTTCATTCTTCCATTAGCACCATCCAAGGGCACCAATGAATTGTTTCCAGATTACAGGGAATATAGGAACCTTCATTCTTTTTCTGGCTTCCGTTATTTGTATGTTGTTTTGCTTTCAAGCCAACCAAAATTGTGGAGAGAAATCAAATCCTTTAATACATCAGTTGATACAGATGGAAAAAAAGCTTTCAGTACACAGTCCTCCTTCAAGTTTTTATTTCTTTTAGTAATTGATGCTATGTTTAAATCACGATGTTGTCTCTCGTTGCCACTTACCATACCTTATATTGACTTGTCAGCAATATAGTGTCTCATTTCCCAGCAGCTGCTAAGAGTTTAGTCAACATCCAGCTATACATCGGGACGCCAAACTATTCAAAATCACTCCTCGCGGCAATGAAGCCTAATGGTTTTTGTAGTAATTTAACACTGTGACAAGGGAGGAAAAAGTATTTGCTTAGTAGCGGTAATGATGATGGTTAGGTGCCCAACCTGATTAGACAGTTCTTTGTAAACCTTGAATGAACCTGCTCACATTATTCAACCAAATGTTCCTGGGTAAAATGTAAATGGCATTGCTGTCTATCTGGTATAAAATGCGGTGTTTAGCTGCTACACATTCTGTACAGCTTTAAGAGGCATCCTGAATGAAGGGAATAAACATTAATGCTTGATAACTAGTTACTTACTGAATGAGACAAGGAGCCCATAGGAAAAGTATAAAGTTATGCATGTGAATGCAAGCAGAAAATTTGCTAAGATTGTGCTCCCTGTCTTTTGGAGACATTATTTTGAAACCTTATCATTCTCACCGCACTCTTCCTCATGAAAGGATACTTACAACTTTAACTGCTTTCATGTAAGAATTAAACAAATTACTTTAAAAATGGTTATATAACAGTTGTTTTCCCCTAAAAGAGGCTATGTATTTTACTGTTCTCAAATGCAACTTATATAAGCGCCTAGAAGCAAGGCTGTGGAGGTGTTATACCCTCTTTCAGTGCCCATGCAGGTTTTTCTAAGTGCTGCAAGTGGAGGTGTTACCATCCAGTAAGCCATGTGGCGGGAAGAATACTCAGGTAGCCTGTGTGGGCAGAGGAAGAAGGACTGGCTGCAAATTGCTTCACCTAAATATAGGTACAGAACTCTCAAAGCTTGTGTCCAGATTTAATTGTTCAAGAGTTGCGTTTGGCAAAAGCAAGTTAACATACAATAGTGCTTGTTGAATTGTGAATGGATTTCTCCACATCCCTGTACTAAAGATACTATTCAGACACATGACTAGAGCCCACCATTGGAAGAAGCCCAGGCACATGATGCCATGAGGGCACTGCCAGGTGATGTTTCAGCTGGAGTAGCATAGCTGGGGCTAACCTACAGGAAGCTGAGCTGGCACAGGAGCAGGTCATGCAGGCAGAGAGATGCTGTGGAGCTGCTTTGCTCCTGGAATGATGGTGGGGAGCCTTCCCTTTGCCCAGACCCTGAGTAGCTTCAGGGGCAGTCACCAGGAGCAGGAAAGCGACGGAAGGCCGCAACGCCAAAACCCTGCCCCACCTACAGTCTGGTGGCTGCAAGAAGCAGTTCTGGAAAGCTTTGAGCTTCCCTTCTCTGTGTGGAAAGCAGGGAGAGGAGTGTTCCCAGGCTACTGCATTGTGTCTATGCAGACAGCAATCTCTCCGAGGAAAGACTGCTGGACCTGGATCTGCTGAGGGCCTCTGGTACAATGAGAGTAAACAATAATTCAGCACTGCCTTGCAATTTCAGTGTGAGCAGCTGAAACACATGATGCTCAAGAGCATAGTGGTCAAAATGCAGATAGAAACATCAGACAGGTTAGGTGTTGGTATCCTACATCCTGAGGGCTCCATGTTGTGTTTTTTTTGCTGTTCTTGGACAATATTAACTGAAATCCACAAGAGCCAAGGGTATGCTGACCTGTGCTGGCTCTGCTCTGCTTGTGTCTGGCATCCATGAAAGCGGGAACCCCGCTGCCTTCAGACTGCAAAGCTAGCAGGGGCTGTGCCCTGCCTTGAGACTGAGTTGTTGGGAGAAGCGTGGCTAGGGTGCTGGCTCTGCTGGAGCCAGAGGAACTCAGCTGGTGACAACAGCACGGGGCAGATGTGCCAGGAAAGATGAAATGAAGGATACATCGGTACACCCCAAGAAGGTGATGGCCCTGTGTCAGGTCTCTGTCTTAGGTGTGAGTGAAGATCTATTCTCCAGCGACCCCTAAGCGGGGCTACCCTCCTGCAGGCCGGCACTCCCGCAGCACGCCGGAGCGGGCCGAGCTGTGAAACACGGGGACCGCGCTGTTGCGGGGCCCGCAGCCTCAGCAGGTGTACGCTGAACTGAGATGCAGAAAGGCCGGGGGGCTGTGAGGCGTTTTGGGGAGAGCCCTGCTGCATAAGTCTCACCCCGTGATTCTTTACTTGGGGGCTGCCAGCACGTCCAGGGTGTCCCCTTTCCCCGGCTGGCCGGGGGATGGCGGGGGGCGGGTGTCCCGGGCGGCGGCGGCGGCGGCGGCGGCGGCGGGCGGGCACTAAGACCGCGCCGCCCCCGGGCGCTGCGCGGCGCGGCGGCTGCAGAAGAGGAGGAGACCGGCGGGCCCGGGAGGAGAGGCGCGGAGGGGAGCGGAGCTATGCTAAACCTGGGGTACCGCTGAGGCGGGGCGGCCAGGCCGGAGGCGGGAGATCTCCGGCTCCCGAGGCGGCAGGAGGCATTTAGGCGCGGGGAGCGGCTCCGCAGCCACCGGGCCAATGAACATGTCCGTGTTGACTTTGCAGGAATACGAATTCGAGAAGCAGTTCAACGAGCATGAGGCCATCCAGTGGATGCAGGAGAACTGGTGAGTGCCGGCGCTGAGCCCAGGCGGCTGCGCGGCCCCGCGGCGCCGTGCGCGGGCACGGGGCTCCGCTGCTACCTGCCCGGCTCCGCCGCTCCCCGGCCCCGCTCCCCCCGCCCCGGATCCCTCATCAAACTTCATTTCCAGCCGCGCCGCTATCAACTTTGCGGGCTGTGCGGGGAGATCTAGGGCCGGGGGCCGGGATCCCCCTTCCTGTCGCGGCCGCTCGCCCACGCCGCCCTCCGCGTCCCGGTGCCGCGCCGCCTGCCTGGGCCTCGCCGGGCGCGTCTCGCCCGCGCCGCCCTGCGCTGCCGCACTCCCTTAGCCGGGACCCGGTCTCGTCCTGCATGGCCTCTCGGTCCTCTCAGCTCGGGGAGCTGCGGGACGACGGAGGGCAGCGCTGCCCGTGCCCGTGGAGGCGGAAAGGTGCCGGGTACCTGGTAGGGCTTGGGCAGGGGCTTACGGAATCCTTCCGTGTCTCATCTGGGCTTTTCTTAAGGGCAGGATAAGCAAAATGACCAGCTTGTGGTTTGTGTATCCCTGTCGTCCTGCAGATGAGCCGTGTGGATACCCTGTATTGCTCACTACTCGCATGGGCACTCTGTATAATGGCTAGTGTGGGTAACTTGTGTTGGTACCCCATGCTGCTCTTGTCTCTGAAGAAGTGACAGCATATAGGTGCTCTTGGCCTGAGAGTGTTGGATGCTTCCCGTTTTATTCACATTCTGGAAGAAAACTGCCATCAGAATAGGACGGGCTGGTAGAAGAGGTTGGAGGGGGTGATGTTTGAGATATGCATTAGCTGGATGAGCCACAGGAGATGCAGTTCAGATTAAAGAACATGACTGGGAACCAGGATTTGTGCGTCGTCCTCGTGGTTCTCCTGCTCTTCATTATGTGACCTTGAGACAATTACATAACCTCTCCTGGGCCTCAGTTTCCCCAGCCAGCAGAGACCCGAGGTAATGCTGAATTACCTCGTGGGGTGCTTTGGTGACTGAGATGCTGTTTGCTGAGGGTCTGGGAGACATCAAGCACTGTGTAAATGCTAAGCAGTGTTACTGAAGTCTCCCTGGCTGTGTGCTTGCTGCAGTTAGCTATCTGGGACTCATCAGCATGAGGCCCCGCTGCCTGGGCCCAACAGAGGAGGCCATCGACTCTGTGCTCTGCTGTGCAGCCTGAGAGATGGGATGCTCCATGTGCATGGAGTCTCAGTGTAGTTTCACCCTCAGTAAAAGAGCTGATGCATACGTAAGTTTGATTCATATAGAAGTAAAGGAGAAGAGCAGTCTGGCCCAGGGACATTTCAGGGGACAAGATGAAGCCATGCCTGCTGCAATCTCTCTCCTAGCAAGCTTCTCTTGAAAATACTGGTGAAGCTTCTTCCAGATTTCAAGTTAGCTTATACATCCTTATCTGATGGAAGTTTGCTCATTTAATGGAACTGGTTCTGTTCCAGCACATGAGATGTTGGCGAAAAACTAACAAATAAAACACAGCAGCTAAGGGCTGTACAAGGAGGCTTCCCCACTTCCCATCGGTTTACTCCGTATGTTTGTCTGCACTGACACTGATGGCAGTGTTTGCCTTCCTGGCTTAATAGGCAGAACTTGGATGCACACATCGTGACTATGAGATGAAGTTATTAAGTAGGGATAAACACTGTTGTTTCCTCCTTAACAGGAGGATGAACTAAGGGGTCGGACTTCCCAGAAATCTGTGGCAAGAATTTATGCTCTTACTAGTCATTAAATGTAGGTAAACAAGTCCCAAAGGTGTGGCATTTGTTATTTTACTTCCATCTCAGAAACAGCTCTTGATGCCTTACAAGGCCAAAAAATAATAATAAATAAGATCTGTAGTGTATGTGAGGCAAGGAAGTGGCTCTAAGTGTTGAGCAGCTTCTGGGTTTGGAGCATCAGTGGAGTTCAACTTGATTGCAATGAGGACAGACCAGATTTAGGCAGTGCATTAATCCCTTTACATACCCTCTGGGTTCTGGACTGTTTAAATACTAGCAAGCCCTTTTAATTATAACTTTTCCAGCCAGGCTGGAAAAGCTTGAACACAAAGTCCTGGGGTAGTGGCATGCCCCCCTGTGTACCAGTGTTGTTGGTCTGTATGTGTGATGGTGCAAGGGACAACATGGCTGCTTCTCTTTTGCCAGGGCTGAGCCTCTTTTGCCTCCATTCTACCACTCCAAACTGCTCTTCAGGGCAAATGAATGTCACGGGGAACTTGGCACCTCACTCATTGCAAACACCCATGATTGCCTTCAGCACACATACGTGCTGGGGTTGTTCGCACTCCCACGTCTGCCTCTGAAGGTGTTCCCTGTGAGGCTAATGTGGATGGAGCCATCCTGACAGCTGAGAGCTGTGACAGCAGTGAGTGAGGGCCTCCTTGCCTCATCCTAGGTATTCCTCTTTCAGTTTATGAAGACCCTCCTCCCACAGTGAGAAGGCTTTCTGGAGCGTGGACCTACATTAGCTATGCTGTACAGAGGCTGCTGTTGGAATGCAGAGGTAAAATGAATGGTCCATTCCCAGTACCTCCAAGCTCATGAACTTCAAGCCTTCCTGGTGTGCCATCCCACCACCCTACTGCATGGCAGTAGGATTGGTGTAAGGCCACCAGTCTCAGGGGCAGAGCTGGTCCCCTACCCCACACCAGTAACAACAGGTTTGGGAGAGGCTAACGAGCTGCTAGGTCCATTGGGTCCCATGGAGCAACTTGCACTTGTGTTGTGTGAAGTCTGTTGTTTACCACCATCTGCCATCAGATAAGTGGATTTTCATGTAAGATGCAGCACCCCATTGATCTTATCATGCTTGTGCTGTGGGAGTTGTGATTTCAGCAAGATAAGAATTAAGCCTGAAGTTTGTTAAAACTATTGCTTAAAATGAATTCTTGGATCAAGCTGTCCTACTACCTCCTGCCAAACTTCTTTGAAAAGAGATGAAGCAAATAATCTGCGGAATATTATTATTTTTAATCAAGCTGCTCCATGAGAGTGCATGCTACTGTAGCCCTTCATTTCTTTGAATCAATAAATTGTGGATTTTGCAGGGGACTGCGGGCTCAGGCAGGCATGCAGCAAAGGGGCCAGCAGCGCTGCCATTCTGGCTGCAGGCACTGCGGCGGCAGAAAGTGGCCGGAGCTGAAGTGGCAGAGATGGGTGGCGGGAGCGCTGCCTGCCGGGTGCCGCCGCGCCGCAGAGCGCCAGGTTGGGGCATCGGCACCGAGTGACAGTTGTTCCTGTTATAATTGTCTGGCCAATAATAATTATCTTCAGATGTCTGCTGACGAGGGGCTCGCCAATGGGGAGGCAGGAGGCCTGTGCTGACTGCGCTGAGATTATCTGCCTGGGGTGACGTCACGCGAGGGCTTGCCGAAAATCACAGAAACTTTTCCTGTGCTGCTTCGCCACCGGCGGCAGAGCTCTGGGATCCCATCCCGAGCCATTGGTGTCCTGGCAGCTCTACACTGCAGGGTTCTGCTCCCCCCATCCCTCTCCATGTTTCTCTGTTTCCTTTAACCCTTGTCAGCCAGCAGCAGGCTCTCAGGTGGCAGCAGGAAGATGAAAGCAGAGCTAGTTGCTCCCCAAGGATGCTGTGGGGCTGTGCTGTAGTAAGTGGCCATTTTTGTTAATGAAGCTGTAGGACAGAGTGAAGCCCTGTGGAAAGTCTGGCAACTCAGGCATGACTGTGAAATTACCTCCGAGCTTTAGATTAGTATAAATGCTTTTGTATTAGAAAAGCTGGTTTTAACCTTTTCTTATCTGAAATTCTTATGTGGCAGGGGACTGAGAGTACCTCTAATTCTGGGGGAAATTTACACCCCGCTATAATTCTTTTTCCAGTCCAAATTGAAAATAGATGTGGAAAGGCAGAAGGTGTGCCAATTTGGGTTTCAAGATGTGCTTCCCTTTTAATAATTCATGCAGGCACCATCGTTCTGGACAGGTTTGTTTCCTAAATGCAGAACAAGCTTCTCTAATCCACTTAAGTCCTCTTACTTCATGCAGAAATCATAAATAAGAGGCTGTGCCTATCACTCCAGGCATGTGTGTATGGCAGCCTAAGATTGATGTAAGCTACTTCCTTATATATGTTTTTGAAACCGAGTGCTTGCAAAATGCCAGGGGAACGTGAAGAGCAATGCTGTGGTCACCCTGTCTTTCTCTTGAGTGCCATGGCAGGGATGCAAAATGCAGCACTGGAGCTGCTCTTCACCGTGGAGGCTGTTTTATTTGACCAAGTTCAGAGAATGTAGGTTACCTTTACATTTACTCCAGTGCCCAGAAAGCCGTTCTGCTGTTCTCTGGTGCCAACTGGCCAGAAAGCTGAAAGAGTGAAGATACGGAGTGCTGTTGGTGCCATGGAAATTAGCGAATAGCAACTCTTTGCATTTTCTCCATCCTTTCCTGAGCAAAAGACTGATGTACTACATCATCACAGAACTCTGCCTCTGTGAAAGTGCAAGGATGAAGCCAGAGGAGAGCAGCAGCATTGTCATTTCAGAGTTCAGGTGATCAGTTATTTTCAGTCTCTGTGTGTGCTTGAGGAAAACAACAGAACAGAAGAGATGGTGGCACAGAAATATCATCCTGAAGATAAATGTGTTGGTGACTTCTAGATTCAGCCTGCCTCTGAAACAGTCACTGGCCTTTCCCTCACCCTATTCCCGGAGTTTGAGCACATCTCTTTTTGTGCAGCTTCATGAATTTTTAAGCTTCTGAGAGCGAAGACATCTCTTCTGCTTCATATGTGAAACACTGTACTTGTGGGACTAGCCACCTAGTAAAAATGGCCAACATGAACTCATTTAGGAGACTGCCATTATTTTCAAATGCAAATTTGAATACTACGGATAGTTTTCACTTAGGAAGAGTTACATAATGCTGAATTACTTTGGCACTTTTGAAAACACAGCTAACATCTTCAGCTAGGTTCATGTCATTAGAGCAGAATGCAACTAGCATGGTTTAAGGCCAGGTTGGA